GCGCGGCTGAAGGAGGCGGAGCGGCTGCCCTCCGGCTCCGGTGACGTTTCCTCCTCTAGCGTGTCTGTTATTACCGGGATTTCTAGCACCTGGTTTAACAGAACTTTAAACATTAGTAGAAAGATGATGGGCATCTAGGTAGAGGAATGATCTATTTGAACAAAAATAATAATAATAAATAGTACATTGTTTATTAAAACAATGTTCCAGCTGATACTGCGCAGTGCGGCGCGACACTCACGTGCGTCTCCGCGGTGGTCTCGGCCTTGCGGAACTTGAAGAGCACGACGTGTCCGTGCGGCAGCGCCACGCTCAGCCGCCGCGACTCCGCGCACAGCGCCACCTGCTGGATGCTCAGCGCGCCCTCCTCCTCCCAGCCGCCGCGCCGCTCGAACACTGACACACTCGCCCGCTCACTCACTCAACATCGACACAGTCACACACTGGCTGACAGACGCTGACTTATGAATATACTTTACATGAACTGACTGACTACAGAATTACTGTTCATAGGGTCTAAATCTCAAATTACTATAATACATTGTAGTTCTCGTTAAAAAAAAGTTTTAAACCAACTGTCGATAGAAGTTGATTTTAAAAATATCGGTAAGATCTTTGGTCAGCAAAAAATAAGGCATATTTAAGTAACAAGACTATAGTAGACATAGTGTGTTATGAAAACTTACCTTTAGAACATTTTAACTTGTATAAAATTTGTAACGTCCCCGCACTCGCGTCCCAGAATTTGACGCTACCGTCTGCGTGACTGAAACATTAAAAATGTTTGTTCCTTAAATACTCAAAAACTACTTGACTGATTCTTTAAATTCTTTCACAAATATAAAACTGGTTTAACAATAAGTAACATAGGCTAACGGTTGGATTTTTATAACTATGTTTTTTTAAGTTATTTAGAAATATACGTACCCTGTGAGTATGATCTCGCTGTAGGAGCAGGAGGCGGGCGCCCACTCGCCGCCGTTGATGGGCCACAGCTTCTCGCTGAAGCCAGCCACCTTCTTGTTGCCCTGACGACCCACTGAGTAGAACGCGGGGATCTACAAGTCAACAGAATTACTCATTAGGTCTCGTTAAGTTTGTTTTAAGTCCCAATCATTTCAAGTTCATCAAAGGTGTATAAAGAGTAATTTTGTTCAGAAATACTGATTTTACTAATATTATACATGCGAAAGTTCAGATTAGATGGACGTATGTTTGTTAGATGGTAGTTTGTAGCCCAAACGGCTGAACGGATCTCGATGAATTTGGTATAGACGTAGAGGAGGAGTCTGGAAGAAAACAGAGGCTACTCTCTTTTGTTTCTTTTTAATTCCACGCGGACGGAGTCGCGAGCAAAAGCTAGGTATTTACAGTTTTAATCACCATTGTGAACGAATCTAATTTAGTTACTCCTGTTCAATACTTACGAGGTCAGACGGGCAGTCTGCGAAGTATGAACAGCAGGTGACGGGAGACTCGTGTATGTCCATGGGGTAGGGGTTCTCGAAGCACGGGTACCCGGGGGAGAGCAGGTCGATCACCACCAGGTCGTTCTGGAGAAGGACCACGATCGCGTAAGGCTCTTGGTAGTCTAAAACATACAATTTATACCACTATCAGTACACGAATGGACCTTGAACAATTGACGATCTGATTATAAGAAAATCATTTAAGCATCTAAACTACAACGCCAATAAAACACCTGGTTAATATGAATGTTCCTAGTTCTAATTACTGCAAAAGTAAACGAACTATCAGCTCTGAATACTAACATTGGGGTCATAACTAATTGCATCAACAAATTAATGAAGATAAATTGTCAGTTTGCACATATGGTCCCGTCTTAAACTAATTAGGTTTGTATGAATCTTAGTAAGTTCTCACCAGCGGCGTGCGGGCTCTCGCAGAGCGTGACGAAGTCAACGACGCTGTGCTCCATTTCCAGCACGGTGGTGCTTTTGCCGTTGAGCACGGTGACACTGTGTGTGCGCCCCGCCTTATCCGTCGGTAGCCCGCCGGAGAAGATGACCAGACTCTCACTGGAAACATCAACCATTCCATTAATAAAAGACATTAGAATGCTTCTAGGTATTCAAGGACTTTCTAGACGTTCAAGGTTAACCTCTAAAAGGGTTTCAGTTTGCACCTCATATAACCATTTCTCTCTCAACAAGCCAAGAATTAAATATAAAGGATTGTTTTTGAGTTTTGCAAACTTACCCTGATCTCGACGTTTTCCATTCTAATCTGTGTATGGGTTTGCAAGGTTCCAGTTTTCCCTCTTTATTCGCTTTCGCTGAAATCAAACGTGAAGGGTGTTTAATCTCTAACATTATATCAGTCAGCAGTTTGTTTTGGAATCTCGTTTTACATACCATGTGGGTATGTGATAGTGGAAGGTCGAGGGGCTCTTGTGGTCCATGTTGCGAGGGCGCCGTCCGCGTGCGCGGTCATCAATTTGCCGTCGTGTTGCCAGGCGGCGGCGCGCACGTCTGGAGCACCCGCCCCCGCGCCTGCTAGCCCTCCTCGCCACTCCACTGCGCGAGCCCGCAGGTCCCATACCACTAATAGACCTGTCTCGAAGGCTATCAATAACTGAAAAAAAAGGTATTTAAATTCTGCTTATTTCATGCTGGATTCGTATCGGTTGCTAATTATAATAAAATATCTGTTGATAAAGTAAATAGGAGAGACAGGAACATTATAATACGTTGTTATGTAGAAAACAGTTTAGTTGAGGAATATTACAAGGTAATTGGATCATTCAACATAAATAATCTCGTGATAAATTTTTAGATGCAAATATAATGGAAATCATCATCATCATCATGCTCCTTATCCTACTCCCGTAGGGTCGGCACAACAGGTTTTTGTCCTCCACATAACTCTATCATACGTCATCTCAGTCATCACTCCCTTTTTGATCATGTCACCTTTCACACAATCCATCCATCTCTTTCTAGGTCTACCTCTGAAATATGATATAGAAATGTTGACTCACTTATACTCAGCATAAAACATTTCATATGTAAAATAACTTCATTACGGATGCTCATAACATACACAAGTTCGCGAGTCTTCAAAGAGACGAAAATAAAACATGGCGGAAATTTTTACAGAGAAGCGCAAAAAAATGGCAAAAGAAGTTCGTTTGAGCGAGCAGCAAGCTCGTTAATGAAATTGCAAAAGCTCAGAAAGCCAACGGCCTTCGGAATGTTGGAGTAAGTCTTAATGCACAGAAAATCATTTTAAAGAACATATTATATTAAAAGTAATTTTATAAACTAAATTGTTACAGTGAGGAATTATTATCTGACCCTATAAAAAAGAGAAGAACAGAATGATATGTGGATACAGGTAAACTTAAGAATCAAACGAAAGCAACCATAAAGAAGTGACTACAGATATGATTTATATAAAGAATAGGTAGGCTAAGGCTAGGGCTGTGCTGTGTGAACGAAAGAATGATGACAGAATCACATAAGAATTAAGACTGTAAATCAAATGACCTTCTTTGATGTAATTCAAACATGCTATTGTTTAAAATGCCAAATATCTCATATGACAGATGGTCTATACCATTATCTTTGTACTTAAATAGATACGCTACTCACTTTGCTAGCATCGAGTGGGTTCTCATTGATGGCTACCACGGCGCCAGGGTGATTCGGCCTTGTCCTGAAACAACATATCAATGTTTATTCTAAATGTTTCGAGATAGTTCGATAGATCTTGACGCGTAGCCGTTTTATAATTTTTAACGTAAGTTTCTACTGTTACCGAAGCATATTCTTATCTCTGTATTACCAAAGATGATGAAAGGGATGCCAATAGATGCATAGGATGTTTCTTACTTTCTTTATTACTTCAAACTTTCTTGAAGATGTAGAATTTTCTAGAGCCGAGAATCTTAAAGAATAGCGTCAACTTAACGAATAGTTAAAAAGCAAAATTTTATTGTTTATCGCAAATCAAATAAGTCCCTTTGGTCTCCACCTATACTAATGTTATAAAGAGAAATGATTAGTATTTTTGTATATATTGAAATAAATGAAACCTACTTGGCCGATTTTAAAAATTCTGTCACCGTTAGAAAGGTAATTCATCTGTGAGTAAAATAGGCTCTATATTTAATTTCGGGCGAAGTCGTAACCATATATTTATGTGTTTATTCACAAGAAATAGCCATTAGTGGGACAGTCTACAAATGATTATGTAAATGTCGTCGTGAGGTTGTCGCGGCAAGCCGGCGCCACTTGTTGCGACGTGCCACCCTCAGGGTGAGGGGTGAAGACCTCTTAACTGACCTTTAGTTACCATGTGGCACTATAACGTAAAAGGGGGATGATTCCTTCAGAGTTTCGAATGTATTTACAACTTATTTGTATTGCATGTTTTTAAGTCTAATTGACTACATTTTTTACGAATGTATCAGTCATAAAATGAAGAAGTAATATAAATGCTGAAACCATAAATTATATTAGTGTTTACTTTAAATGAAAATCCTGGATTTTAGAAAAGTCTTGTAATATAGTTTTTCTTTATAAATTGTATTGGATAAGGAAGTGAAGAAAGTTAACCAAAGAGTATGTAAAATGTTGCCATAAACAATTGCACAGATAAAATATTTAATTTTTTACAGATAAAAAAAAAAGAAACGTATCAAAGCATCGCAAATAATTATATTCATCATGCAATTATTAATATAACAATATAATCTTACTAATTTTATAAATGCGAAAGTTTAGATGTATGCATGGATGGATGTTTGTTAGAGTTTGTAGCCTAAACGGCTGAACGGATCTTGATGAAATTTGGCATAGACGTAGAGCATAGTCTGGGAGAACACATAGGCTACTAACTTTTGTTTTTTAGAACTCCGCGCGGACGGAGTCGCGGGCGAAAGCTAGTTTAGTCATAAAGTAAAAACCGTTAAAATATGAAACTGGTCAATCATTACTGGCAAAAAAAACAAATGAAAAAATAAATCAGACATTTGTGGCGGTGACCTCATTGTCGAGGCGGTATAGCGTGATGGTTGCGGGGTTAGTGAGGGTGAGGGGTGCGGGCACAGGGGTGAGAGTTAATCGCTCGTGAAGCGACGATAATGATTCGTCAGGACGCGTCGGCAGCGAGTTATTAAAGATGCCGGAGATATTATGGGTCATCATAACAAATCCGAATGGAAAGATATTGCAAACGATAGTGACAAGAAACCAGTATTAACTATGGAAATACTTTCGTAAAAAACCTAAGTTTGAAATACTTAAATCTCCGATGATCGGATTTATGAAAAATGAATCTTTTAAACCATTTATAGATCTAAGTATAAAGCTTTCATGTCAATGAACTTTGTTTAGTTTAAATAAGGTTTGTAAAGATAAAAAACCGTATAATCTTATTTTACAAAACTAATTTTATTCCTTAAAATACCTTGATATTGTTATGACAGCTGGATAACAAACGTGATATTTTTTTAGTTATTATCTCACTAGCTATCGCCGGCGACTTCGCCCGCGTGAAAATAAAAAAAAAAACAAAACTGAGTAGCCTCTGTGTTCTTCCAGACTATCCTTTACGTCTATGCTTAATTTCATCGAAGTCCGTTCAGCCGTTTCGGCTACAACCTCTAACAAACATCCATCCATCTAAACTATCTCATTTATAATATTATAGTTAGTATATTTTTTTTGGAAATGTATTACGAAAAAGTCTTTACTAGTTACCATAGATGCGAGATAAATAGAACTCGAGATATACATGTTTGAAAATTCAATGGGTTCTGTAAAATTTGCAGTTACATCACTTTACGTAGGGACCGCAGATATCACCTTAGATATTACCTTGAGTTACATAATTTATTGTCACCGTCGCTATAATTTACCAAAGTACGTGTAAGTAAAAACAAGGGTATAAGATAAAAGCTCTCAGAGACATCGCTAAATAAGTTACACGAGTTAAAACCAAGCGAGAGTTAGACACTTCACGCCGCGAAACGCGCTTCATAAAGTACTCCTTTTTACAAGTACCCTCTGTTTTTGACAAATGTTTTAGTACCATTTTACTTAATGTACGAGATGCGATACTTTTATGTAAAGCCGTGGGCTTCCATTGACACATAACCGGTACAAAATTACATTCATTTATGATAGTGTTTCGCTATTTATTACTCTATATTGCTTTACCATTCTAATGTTAAACACTTCACTTCTTAAACGGCGCTCACAATCTAACAAGCGTCAATTGTAATGGATTTTCGAGTTCCATTTTTAAATGTCGTTTCAGTAGTCAGCATTAAAAGTGGGAGCACCTTAAACTACCACACAACTGTCGATTGTTTCGCAGCCAATTCAACTGTTTAGTTGCACAACTAAAAATCGAGTAGTCCTCCATAAAGTCAAAGGAATCAAAGCGAGAGTAAACAGTCGTGCGACAGTTTAGTCAAAATGTATTCTGTAAATACATTAGGCAGACCTCCACGAAGAGATACAAGATACATTTTAATAGAGAGATATCTTCCATATTTTGGCATATTTGTATAATATGTTGAGGTGAACATTAGAGATAATAAAACGTACTTACGATACTATTTCAAGCGGATTATTGCGAAATTACTTTGTATTCAAATAGAATACCATTTGTTTCTTCTTTTAAAAAACATTTACCGTATTACATGGTTACTGAAAGGTTTCCAAGGTTAGTGAGATACTTTTTATTGCTATGAGGTTATCAATCATTTGTAAAGCACACGACTATTACATTTTCATAAAATCTAGATATTTTTTTAAATAATTATCATAGATGAAAGTTAAATATTAACGACCGTGCTGTTTCATCCGCACTGAATGATGAAAATTTTATTTTATTGTTTACTTTTGTCAAATTATCAATAATAAATGTCAAATTGACATGGCATGACAAACCTTGGCAATGTTGTTTCCTTGATGTTGGCAGCAACTCATAGTCTCTTTCCCACATTAGGGTTTTTATCCATAATATTTACCCCTAAGTTTAATGGCGTGGAAATATATAACCTAAAGCGTGACATAAGTGTAGGGCTTTTCATTAAAAAGAGAATTATTCAAAAATATGCTGTAATTGCTGATATCTTAGGCAACGAAGAAGTGTGTGTTTACGCTTTATCCTAATAGTATAGAAGTATAGATATGGGCTTCTTTAATAAAAAAGTTTATACCAGCGATATGATACATAAAAATTTAGGGTAGATGTAAAATTTTTGTATAATAGAGATCATTATAACGCGGCCCGCGGCGCGGCGCCGCTGGCACAATGCGAGTACTACATTTGTGCAGTAACGAAATCCCGCCATTTAAAACTTTTTGGAAAACGTTCCGCGATGCATCGCGTTTAATTATACTTATTTAACGAGAGTCGCATTTAAAAGCCGTTCTAAAATTCCATATAGAATATTCTTTTTGTCAAAGAGTAAAGTACAACAATACATAGAGTATAAAAGTTGTTCGAGTTCGAACATAAAGAGCAGTAAAATGACAGAACAATCGGTTGTCGGAAGGATGCTCTATGTTGACAGCTCTATGGAAACAAGATGGCGGTGGGACGCGGCGTGAAACGTCGGAAGTGGCGGGAAATGTTTCGCGTCGCTTATCGAACTTGTTGAGATGTCCTATTCATTCATACAAACTTTAATACTAACTTTTAAATTAGCACGTATTCTTAATATAGGTGCACTGGTATACAAAGGTATTGTCATCCTTGTTGTTCTCTTATCAAAAACAAAGATAGCAATATGTTTAATACAAGCCGGCAATGAATATTATTTTAATTCTGATGTCTTGTAACCAAAACATATTACGTGCATTAAATTATGTTAGTGCGAAATGTACCTATTTTCACGTGAAAACATCGTTTGGCGGTAAAACATTCGTTACTGATCAGATAATAAAGCATTCAAATGGCAAACAACGCGATTGGAATATAAAACAGGCAATTTCTCGCTACAGATAACATCAAAAGATTTCTGTGGCGCGGGTACAATCGGTCGGCTACGCGAGATGCATGCCTATTTCCAATCCAGTAACTGTAGCATGGAATTTATTTTTATTATGCCACTAGCTGTTCCCGTACGACTTCATCCGCGTGAAATCTTTATTTCATTGTTTACATTTGAAAAATTCTCAATTGTTAATGTCAATATTACCACTACCATGATAACTTTGCTTCCTTAATGTTGACTTGTAACTTATGGTCCCTTTCCCACATGGAGGGTTTTTTCCGATTTATCAATCCCCTAAGTTCAATGGCGTTAAACATACATATAGCCTAAACCGAGTCGTAACTGTAGGGCTTTTTATTAAAGAAAGAATTATTCATTAACTAGCTATCGCCCGCGACTCCACTGCGTGGAAATAAAAAACAAAAGTGAGCCTATGTGTTCTTCCAGACTGTCCTCTACATCTATACCAAATTTCATCGAAATCCGTTCAGTAGTTTAGGATACAAACTCTAACAAGCATCCATCCATCCATCTAAACTTTCGCATTTATAATAGCGAAGTGTTAAGATTCGTTTGAGCTGGTAGTTACACCTTTGTCATTTTTATTAAAAAAATATTTTTGAAACAGTAAAAAATCCCGTTGGATATATTCACGTTAATGTGCTTTACTAAATGTATATTAACGTAATTTAACAATGGATAT